GGTCAGGAGTAGAAGAGCAGCCCGTTCAGGAATACACAGAGATGCGATCTCACGAGAGGGAGATACCACAGTGAATTTTTATTCGAAATCTTAGGTCTTTTATACCTAGGCAGGAGTCTAAGCTCCTCCTTACATGTCCTGATCCGTACATACATATACATAGGATAAGGCTACCCTGGTCTATCATAAGTAGCGTCCTAGAATGCTATTGGGTGTACCTAGCATGTGGGGTGCTAGCCCAATTTCGTACTACCTCAAGGGTATCATGCTAGAGTCGTAACTTCGGGGTATAACCCCGGTGACTCACGTATTTTACTACTGTCACGGGTATATGGCCCCGTGGGTTGGTATGAGTCATAGTCCTAGTACGGAACGAGGACTAGTAGTTTCCAGTTTCTACCTAAACCTCAACAAAGACAGACAGGATACCTTCTTGATGCAAATATGGATGCCATTGTGTCGTGGACTGGTCCCATGAAAATATGAGCGCTCAGCTTGAACAGCTTGCCTGGAATACTGTCTATACCTCTACCTTTTCTCGGGTCAATTCTCCGCAGGCGGGATGCGGTCTCCGTTACCGTCGCGACTTAGAATCAAAGGAAGATATAAGAGACCCTCGATTGAGCCGTGTTGGCCCCGAGAGTTGCGGAGTAAGTATTTATTCCATCAAGACTGAGTCAAACCAGGTCTGGACTCAGAGTCGATGATCCTGTTTTACCCCTGAAGGAGGTCTTTATAAGCCTCTAGGTCAGGGGTGTCAAAGTCAAATCTTCGGCGGGCCATGAAGGAGCACTGGGAGAAGCCGGCGGGTCACATCCAAGGATTTTTCCACATTATTCTTAATTCACGTTGTTTGAGCGGAGAGATCGGGAAGCTGGAGGGAGACACATATGTATATGCATGATGGGTCACAATTGATTCTCGATGTTTCAGAGTCGACTCGTTCTATTCGTGATTCGAAATTTACAAGGATATGATGACAAGTGGCCCGCGGGACACCTCTTTGACACCCCTGCTCTAGGTGCTTACCGCGCAGCCCAGTGCTTGCTCGGATTTTACCCGGTAGTAGTCATCTTTGGCCTTCCTGAGTCAGCTTCACATGGTATGATTCGTAAATCATTCTGGCGGCAGCCAATGGACTTGAATCGTCGGTAGAGGTTGTTGCGCTCTCTGATGGCTCTGACTAGGCCTATTGTCATCCGTTCCTTAATGGGACGGAGTCTGTATTTCATTGTGGAGACAACGGTGTTTCTCTCCATTACCGTGGAGCATATTTTCAGGAAGTACTCTGTCTTCTTCTCAGGGTCTATTTGTTGGAAAAGCGGGCCAGTTCCGAGTCAACGAGTCCGTAGTCGAAGCGTTTGAAAGATCGCTCCGGATACTCCGAACCCGTGTAATACACGGAGAGATATATGAATTTGTGATCTGACACACCTCCTGAGTCCCTAATGGATATGTCCCGAGTTGCAAGCCCACTGAGTCTCACGATGGCGGGATCAATTAAGGTTGCCGTGACCCCAGGGATCCGAGTCGGAAGCCAGTCGTTGACCGTCTGGAAGCCATGTGAATTAGTGAGATCCAGATAAAGATCGGCTGTCTCGGATTGGGAGAGTAGATAAATATTCATGTCGCGAATTCGCCGCCTAGATTAGTTTCGAAGGAACGGGATGGCGTGGGACTCGCATCCCGTCTGAGCTTGGGAAGAAGCTGTGTCTCTGGAGAGCTTCCGTAAGATTATCGCTGCGATTTCAGGACCACTAAAGTATGAAAGAGCCAAACCTCGACTGCAAGAATAACATTAATGAAACGTCTGATTATGCCAAAAAAATCTGATTCCGTTCGATTCCTTTGAGCGAAAGTCCGAAATCGGGGATGGTGGCCGCAAACTCGATGGTGGAGACGTGTAGGAGCTGCTCGCCATCTGCGCCTATTTCGGTCCTGCTCCGAACATGCGGGCGTCGATCTCCCGAAATCCTATCTCCAGTTCAATTTGATGCTCGATCTTCCTACGTACTTCAATCTGCTCTGACTGAAGACTGCCGACAGTTTTCACCGTCTTCTCGGGGCGAGGCTTCAACCTCCAGAGCTCGGAGGGGACAACGCTAAATGGGAGCACCCTTCTCCCGGGGGAAACGGGAGAGCAAGTTAGCTCTCGAGAAGATGCGAGGAGACACCAGGGGAGATATGATATCATTCGTGTTTCGCATGATATAGCGATAACGGGGCGAATTCATGGTCTCCGACCGGCTCCGGATAGTCGCAGGATCTCCGAAGTATTCCCTGCTCTGCGCAGGGTCACTGCCCGGAACACTTTCGATCGGGGTGAGATCTCGATGCCCGGGGAAGATGGCGGCGTATCGAACTTCAGGCGGCGATCCTCCTCCTCAAGACTAAGTCACTGTCGTCTTCCTCGTCCTCTGGGATCGGCGATGGAGGACGGAACTCGAACTCCCAGTCGTCTCGAGTGTGTGTGGAGAAATTGATCCCCCCGAAACGTACCTACAAGTGAAGTAATAAGGTTCGATCGACACCGTACGCTGCCAGAATCGGAGATCGCACGCTACGCCCTTCGCTCCGCAGAGCTCTTTCCGGCTTCCAGACTGATTTGTTTCGCGAAAACTGGAAGAAAACCATCACCACAATCCTCATCCAGTCATGCTTCGTCGACTGCCTTCAATCTTCTCATACTATAATCGAACTCCTTCCGGTCTCCGATCGAACGGAAGCGCTCCTCGTTGTTCTCCTATCGATCATGAGCTAAATGTCGTGATGCCCGTTTTTCCCTCGCTCGGACAGATAGAGAGCCCGCTTCCCAAAGGCAATGGAAAAAGCTGTTACAGGCACACCCGGTATGTGTTGACCATGGTCTCACCCGCAGTATCAATGGAACAGAACTTCATATTGATCTTGATCAATCCTCAGGCACGAGTCACAATTCTTATCCTCATTCCTGCCCTATATACTGTGATACTGTCCATTCTGCTGAATAATTACTCGAAGGTGGAAGCTTCTTCCTGCCTCGATCGCGTAAGAAGTCAGAGACTTGACTCGATCAGGGACGATACCCATGGAGCTTGAGCGAAGAACTCTAGGGCGGCATCCGCGACCGGAGGGACGCGTACTCCTTTGGATATGCAGGGGTCGTTTGAGGGCCAGTCACGATTTGCCTGGAATGATGTGGGTGTGTGAATGCAGCGGGAATCCAGCAAAGGCGAGGATCGATTGATGCCGCGCATCATTCATCTTGATTCAAGGAGTATGTTTTTGCCTCCTCGATTCCCATCGCACCCTTCGTCCCGCGAGCTTTCGGATTTTTTTCGATCCGAAAAATGCGGTCAGCCCCTGATCCGAGTTGCCAATCAGCAATGGGACGAGATTGGTCTTTAGATTGCAGGAAGTGGGAATCGACGCGCTCGCGGAGGATTCCGGCGCGTCCGCAGGGCGGGAGGGGGGGCTAAGGGGGCTATAGCCCCCTCCCGGATTTAGAGTTCTCAATAGTAAGATATAGGAGCGAGTCGCCATGGCTGCCGATACTCCAGGTTCGGCGAAAGCTTTGCGACAAGCTGAAATTTCAAATCAGCAGACCATGAAGAAGGCTATCCGAATGCGACGACTCCCTCATTATTGATCATACATATCACACATCTCGCATGAGTCCCACGAGGGGAGTCGTAGGTGATGAAAATCGGACCGGGATGAAACTTCGGGATGGAACAGTGACCGATCCAGCAGCGTCGCCAGCAGCGGCTCCTTGCGGACTCTGAGAGATCAAGGGAGCAGGAGCGGATCCAGTCTTTTTTCGTTGGGGGGCCAAGTCATATTTTCGAGGGGGAAAGAGACCGAAAATGATGACGCGCCACCTCGCCGGCCCATGTCTTTTGTAGTAGGGATCGAAGATTCGTTGGGGGGGCCATCGGCCCCTCGGCCCCCCCCCTGGATCCGCCACTGCAAGGGAGATCCTTGGCCGTGAACGCCGACGCGTTCATATCCCGATCAGTGAACATGGAGATTTACCTCGACGAAACGCCGCAACTGTTCCGTGGCGTGATACATTTATCACCGCGGCGATTCGCAGCGAGTCGCGTTCGTACGAGGCAACCGCGCGATGGCCATTTTATGGCCCACCGCAATGGATCCACTCTTGATTTTAGCGAATGAGGTATATACTTCATCGCGCTTGGAAGAAAGCATCAGAGCCGATCTCTTTCCCCTCGATCCCCGCGCCTGGCGTCCCAATGATCCTTGGAAACCGCGGGCGTCCGCGTGTTCTCGTCTTAGACAGTGTCCTGGCCCAGGCGGAATCGTCTGGAATGGTCCCGAGCCGGGTAAAGAGCGAGAGCATTCTGTTCATTTTATAGGAATAATTTATTAATTTCACTTTACCATCATTATTGCTCGCTAGCTGGAGACATCATCTTTCCACGAACACTGTCAACTGGTCGGCCCAGCTTCCGAGGTATATATAGTAATATTTTACAGGAAACTTCTCTATTGCGAGAGCAATGTACACTACGATACAAGATACAAGTTCTCGATCAGAATCAAGATGGATCCCGCGTAAAGCCAAATGATTCAAGGGCATTCAGGCTTTCGAATCAAGTCAAGGAGCGTTTCGCGCGGCGGCTGTCACAGGACATCCGTCTGCCTAGATCTCCTTCCTCACATGAATGATCGCGGGGCGTTATCGCAGGCCGAGCTCAAGCTCCTAATTGAAAGGAGAGGCCGTCGGGTCTTTGTTCTTAAACATTTCGCTGAGCGTCTTGTCCTCAACATCGACCGAGTACGAATCGACCGGATGGGATCGGAGGGACGGCATAGCTGGCAGGGAGTCCAGACCTGCAGATCCAGCAGCGGCGGACGCCGGAGGAGTCGCCGCGTTGGTCGACGCCGGTGCGGAAGAAGTCGAAGGCATGTCCGTTTTTTGAGTCTCTTCGGAAGACGACGCAGTCTGGGGAGCGGTGGCCGCAGGCGGCGGATTTTTCTTCTTGATGCGACCGATATTTCTGCGCGGATAAGGCGACGTTTTTTCCGGGACTTGATCGTCGTAAGCCGACAAGGGCGAGCTGTACACAATCGGAGGCGTGGGTTTCTTGACCTGATCCTCGTTGGGGGGATCTTCAGTGGCGGGAGTGCTTTTGGCTCGAGGATCGGCTCTTCTCCTCGGATCGACTCTGGCTGAATTTTGCCGCGGCTCCACCGGCGTCACGTTGGGCGGATCGTTTCGCGGCGACGCGAAAGCCGGCTGGAAGCGTGACTCTTGTCGAGGGTCCTGTCTCGCTGCTTGTCTTGGGTCCTGTCTGACAACCGGAGCGGGAAGACTCACCGGGGACATCGAAGGCATCATTCCAGGAGGTCTGCGGAGGTCTCCCATGGCGAGGGCTTGGATGTCCGGCATTGGGAGTCCTGGAGGTCTGAGATCGACGCCACCGCTAGGGTTGCCCAAGCGCAATCGAGGATCGATTTTGCTCCGGTCCGGAGCGGCTAAAACCGGTGCAGGTAGCAGACCCGGTTTCCCGATTGCCAACTGAGCCAGAAAGTTCGCCGCCACCGACGGAGCCGGCTGAATGTGTGGTGGGGACTGGGGCGACTCGACGACCAGTTCCTCTCGCTTCCCCAATTTCTCGAGATGACGTTCGAGTCGAGGATCAGACTTCAGCCTGAAATTCATCTTCACGAGATGGACCAGCTCATCGTACCTCACCGGCGAGGTTTCGATCGGTCGAAGGACGTAGGGCGCCTCACCGTCGTGCGATTCGATGGTCACGGTGACTTCTAACGTGGGGAATACTGGCAACTGTGACGGAAGGCTCTGGGCCTGCTGTCGGGGATCCCGGGCCTTGCGAGGATCGACTTTCGGTGGTGTCGTTTGATTGGTGGTCGCGGTTGGAAGAGATGTTCCTGTTGCGGGATCCACACCCGCAATAGTCAACAACTGCTTCCAGTATTCGTTGGGCTGTGCAATGACGCTTTGGGATTGATTATTTGAATTACTGCTGCTGTTGATTGAGGAAATCATTTTAACGAGATCGATTCCGCCTCCGGGTCGGCTAGCTGCTGCCGGTGGTGGAGGGGCATCGGTGTTAGCTGGAGTTTGTTGAAGCCGTTTGATAACGTCGGTGAGCGGCTGATCGTCATCGCTGTCTTCTTGCTGTCCATCATGACGATTCTCGCCGGTATCCTCGTCTGGCATCGGGGTGCGTCTTCCTTCTTCTTGGCTGCTGCCCTGAGAGTCCTGACTTGTTTCAACTCTCTGTTGCAAACGCATCAGGAGATCTCGCTGCGATTTGGGAATGCCTGGCATTGTGTCCACGTTATTGGAACGATCTCTCGGATCGGCTGGTCTTTCCACGACTCGTTTTGGGCTCTGATTGTGCCGATCTCCGGCTTCGGCTCTGTGGAGATAAATCTCGTTTAGTAATCAAGGTTGAGCGCATATTCGAACTCGGGGATCCTGAGATTTCGTGAAGGTTTTCACATTCTTCTCGTGATCGAAACACGAGTGGAAGGTTCGGAAATCTCGTTCAGTCAGTTCTCCAAATCGTGGGGTCCTCACCTCTTCGAATCCGCGCTCTCTGTTCCATGGCCGGGACTTCTGTCAATATCGTGAGACTCTCTTCGTCCGTTCGGCGAGACATTCGGAGATTCCATCGTATCCCGATAGAAAGCTTGCATACCGACGCCATCATCCTTCCCCACGGGTAGCCGGTAATCGACATCAGCTGTTCCTGGAGGGAGTATTCTGAAGTCGGTATCCTCAACGCCCAATTGCATTCCCTCTGTCCTCAACGTCTGGGGCAGTTCCAAGAGCGGTTCCTTGTGGGATCGGGGTGGTGCTTTGGGATCTTTTTGACGGTCCTCTCTCTCTTTGGCTTTACGGCTGAGCCTCTCCAGGTCTTCACGTTTTAGGCCTTTGCATTCATCGAGGTACTGGAAATGGATGAAATTCCACCATGAATCGACTCCCTAGCAGGAGCATCATTCACGCTGAAGATCGATATCGGTGGCCGCGTTCGATTTCGGCACCTATGCAGAACCACGTCCATGCGGTGGAGCACTGGGAGAAGCAACAAGCACGAAAACTCACCCGCATGAGTACATCGCGCATTTCATCCGTGAGAGGTGCGTGGGAGTAGCGACAGCTCTTATCCGCGAAGCAAGGCGCTCCAGTGTGGTAGAATTTACATGGGAAGTCTTCGTGCATAAATGGACAGTTTCGTTTTATGCAGTGACCCGACACGTAGAACCGACACAAATCGGTACGTTTTGTCTGCTCTATGGCATGCGAGAATGGGCAATCATCACTCTGGAAAGATACAATCACAATCAATCAATACTCTCGGCCTTGCCGAGAGCGCCGACAGCCCGGAGGAAACTGCTCCTTGAAGCCGGCTCCACCTCGGAGCTTCTTCCCATGAGTGATTTTGGATGGAGATGGCGGCTCTCTATGTTAGAGCCGTAAAACACGAGGATCAGAGCTCGATCACTCGGAGAGAGGAACTCACCTTTTGACACTTTCCTTCCATGTAATATTTGCATGGCACGCGATCTTCTTTCTTCGCTTTCTTGGGCGGACTCCTGGACCGAGATTTCGACCTGGAGCGAGACCTTTGGCGCTCGTGCCGTCTCTGCGAGGAAATCATTTTTTTCAAAATCCAACCCTCGAATAAAACAAGATCTCGGTAGAATCCACTTTGACAGAGAGGTGGGAGATTTAGTTCTGCTCACATGTTTCCGGTGGGGGGAATCCTCCTCCGAATGGCTATTGCGACGGCGTCTCTTCTCCTTCTTGTGATGTCGTTTCCTCGATCTATCTTCGTCGTGCGGCATACGTTCCAAGCCCGAAGCCATCCGAAGTGCGTTCTGTTCTTGAATCCTGGCAGCGATATCACCAATCGACATGGGTCGGGGCTCTGAGGATTTTTTCTCCTCCGGAACTCTTTTCTCCTCTCTAGTTTGATCTTGAGGTCCATTGTTCTCATCGTCGGATATGATCTCCCCCTCTTCTTCGTCGCTGGAAGAAAAAAGTGAACGTCATTCGTCAAATTTCTCCGTTCGGAACCGCAACCTACTGCCTCGGATCATGGTATACGGAGGATCAGGAACACTCCTGGACTCGAGATTCTCATTCGAGCGTTGAATGGAGTATTCCTATCCCTTCTCGTTAATTAATCAGAACGGAATGCCAGCCCTAATCTCGCTCCCTCATAGAGCCGTAGGTGTCTCAGGGTGGATGGCTCCCCTAGAAAGATTGAAAAAAAATCTAGAGGCACTCAATCACGGTGAGTGGGCTCGGCTTGAGCCTCCCAATGACAGACGACTTTGTCCAATCGGACTTCCGGTGGAATTAGCCGGAAATGTCCAGCGCGAGCTCTTGGGCAAGCTCGAGGGGAATCTCGCATCGATGACGTCAGGATAATGATGCTGAGAACGTTTCCACTCAGGTCTTCGTCCAATCGCAAGCGACAAACGGAGCGATCGACGTACTCGCGATCGGTATGAGCTGGATAGTCTAATGAGTCCAACTAAGCTGTCGCTCGGCTGCGAAAGACTGCGGGGATCGCAGCTCCTCGCGGCCTCTAGATTTGACATCTGGTTGCATCCGTGCCCTGTGCCAAACTTGGACAAGTGGGTCATTGAGATCCCGATCGAAGATCCGCAAGAGTGGCTCGAACACTGATGTCGATCGACGAGCAGTGTTCACCGTTCCCGGATTCCATATCGGCGCTCCATAACTCTTTGGGATCGCAGCTTCGAGTGGCGAGCGATCAGTCAGAGGACCCCTTGAAAGGGATATCGATCTCCGATATGTTTCGATCTCGCCTATTTTACGAGCGAGGATCTCTGTCTGAGGCAGCCAATACTGCGAAAGACCCTCCAAAAGCGAGCTCATTGATAGTAGAGTTGGGTTGACGTCACGATCCATGTTTATAGATTCAGCCGTTCCGTTTCCACGGAGACGTCTCCCGGACTGCGACGGAGTCGCAGCAACAGCAGGAGGAGCAAATAACACTCCCAGTCGACGTCGACCGACGATGACATCCGATGATGAAATGAGTAATCTCTCGCGAATGTATGTGTCTGCTGCTTATATCGTTCGTTGCGTACCCGACCAACCCCGTGGCGCACTTCACACACTTCGGCTTCACATGTTCGGAAATGGAGAGTCGGCAAAGCCTGCCGATAGACTTTGCACGAGTCCTCGTCGCAACGAAGACCTCTGGAAACGAGCGGTTACAGTCATACGCGTCCATCATCCCTTCAGCGAGAGACTGCGGCAGAGATCGCTCTAGCTATGATTCATTAGTCGGCCGAGAACGACAAAGAAGCCGTTACGGCAGCAGCGAGCGCCATTTCATCGTCGGTCGTTGTCGACGACGACCATTCACATCATTTCGAATCCGTTCGAACACTGTATCGGCGGTGACGGCAGCGGCGGGGGCGGCGGCAGCGGCGGCAAACGACTACATACAAGGACCGATGATATAAAAGTTATAGTTTTCATTCAACCACCCACAGCATCATGTTGATTTCCGACGAAGTCGATGTGGTTCTCGTGTCTCGATGTTGTTGTTTTCAGCGGCAGCAGCAGCGGCGGCGGCGTCGTCGTCGTCGTCGCTGTTAGGCCTAACTTCACGGCGCCGGACCGAGAGCATCCAGCCAGGCTTGAGTCGAACAATGCAACACGCCACCGATGTTGATAGCCGGCCGACCGAACTGCGAGCGAACCGGCTGGCTGTCCAGCGAGCGGGCGGGCGGTTGGTCGGTCGGTCGATCGTTGTTGCAACGACCAGCGAGAATATACGATGATGATGATGATGACGATGATACTTCAAGTTCGGTATGAGAGCGTCTCAGTTAGTCAGAGTGTCCGCCGAACGAGCGCTCCTGGCCGAACACGAGGAGGATAACGAGATAAAGCCGCTGTACAAATCAGATTTCTGCTGTTTCGGACACCGGAGCCGGTCGGGCATATGCGGGAAGATTGCTGTGCTTCTGATGTTGCCTCCGATGTTTGAGCGGTCCTCGATCGGCTACATGGCTTGGGAGAGAATCTGTTCGACAGCAACCCACTCTTCTGGAGTTTCAGGGATCGGAGATATCGTTCTCGCTGAAAAAGTCCGGCCCGGCGTCTATCTAGGGTAGACAATGATGGAGCCAATAGCCGCTTCAGGAAGCAGCCATCGTACCGGAGTTTTTCGACGTGTCGGGATAGCTCTAGGTAACTGAAACGATCTCTTGCAGAAACGGGACCTGTGGCTTGAGATCCGAGAACGTTCCCGCCGAACAACATCAGAGGCAGCGAGCTCAGCAGTGTCGGGCGGCGACTCCGCCAATCAGACAGCTCTCGCTCCGTCCTCCCTCCGTTTCGGTGCTGTTGTTTCCGCTGGTGCAGCGGTACTGCGATTTCGAGTTGGAGACGGCAGCAGCAGCGGCGGCGACGACGACGATCCGTGTCCGTGCATCCGACGACGCCCGAGCGCGCTCGTCGTCAACATACGCAACGAGGCGGCGAAGATGGGCGAAATTCAGTGGAGTGGCAGCAGCGGCGGCAGGATATTCGCCATATTGGAAATCTATCTGTCGGTCCGTTTCACGGCTCGTGTCGCGCAGCAGCATTGACTGCCGCTGACTAAGCCGCTTCGACTGTGAGCCTCCGAGCTGCTAGGTCTCTACGGGGCATCGAGCAGCAGCAGCAGCGAGCGGTGTGCGACCAACCGAGCGAACTGACTGACTGGAAAGTAAGCGAGGTGGTTGCTGCTGCTGCTGTCGCGGCTTAACGAGCTCACGTCGCCATGTCGCATTCTCCACGGACTTTGAAATCGAAGGTGTTCGAAAGGTTCTGTGAAATCTGCACTCGTTTTCCCCGTTTCCGCGGAGCGATATGAAATAAAATTTCGTCGAAGTTGACTGTGCGCTTCGTCCGAGTCGCTATGAGGGACATGCGTAACGTTTTCGAGTCTCGGAGGATCCCCCAGATACGTTTTATGCGTCGCTGCGGCCCAATCGTCGATCGATCGAATCTTCGGCTCAATCGACCTAGAGAGGGGATTCGAGAAGATTCGAAGGATTGGGGCGTCATCGGATCAATGGATGAGAGAGAGAGACGTGTTTTGCTCATATAAGTTATCGCCGCAGCTTGGCAAATCAATGTTGTGTCGCGATAGAACGCTGCGCACCGTCACCGATAGTTTCGCATTCGTTTTTCCTGGTCAAGTGCGGCTGTTTACTTCAGCTGCTATCGCAGCATCGGCTGCATTTCATGGAAGAACTGATGGATGGATAGATGGATGGATAGGTACCTTTGCTGACGTTCCTCGGGGTGGCTAAGGGCGCCCACACCCCCCGGCACTCCGGATGCGGTTAATGACATTTCATTCGAGATTTCACCGATTCCAAGTTTGCTGTGTTGGCTGGTTGGCTCGCTCGATCGATCAGCTGATCAGCTTATTCAGCTGAAACAATCTGAAGTCGCAGCTTTGGCTCGATGCTCTACGGCAAGAAGCAGTTGTTCGCTCTACCGCCGCTCGCGCTGTCTGTTGAATTGTACCGGCAACCAAGCAACGACGACTACCATCCGACCGAGTAACCAGCCGACCGACCGACCGACCAAACAGCGGCCGGACCGACCAGAAGATCAAGCAACAAACTGACCGAGAGTGACCAGTCAGCGTGGCTTCTGTTTGTCTGTTATTCGGAACAAAAAGGGAACATCAACTAGCGCAAGAGGAATCCGTCGTATGACTAAAGCTTGATCGCAAGAGCCGCGGCAAATCAGCCACGGGACCTGTGGTTGCAGCCGACGGTATCGATGACGTAATCGCAGTCGTTTTACCCGCGCAGCATACGCCGATCAGCGACATGTAGCCGCCGCAGAAATGAGAAGCTCCACAAGTCGACCGATTGACCTAGAAATGGCTGACCAACGAGGAAGCGCTCGGCCTGATAGGTCGGCCGTCAGGCTGGCTGGCTCACGAGGGAGTGTACGTACGTACAGACGGGCGAAAGGAACCGATTGCCTAAATCACTGAGCGACCCACGGACGTCGCGCAGGACGACGTCGACCAGCTTAGGACGTTTGATTAACTGACCCACCTAAGGCGATCGCATTGGCAGCCCACAGCAGAAGCGCTGAACCGACCGATTCGGACAGTTTTCAGCGTAAATCCCGAACTCCTTGTGATCCTATCCTCTCAATAATGAACAGCGATTCAGCAACAGAATTGTCGTACAGACGTCCGTCCTTCCGCCGTCGAAGTCGTCGCCGTTCGTTCGCTCGTTTGGTTTGCTGGCTTGCTGACCGACCGACCGACCGACCGACTCGATCGACTGACTGACCGATCGACCGACGGACGACAGAGCGACCGTACGATCGACTAACTGACTGGATAACCGAGCGAGCGAGCGACCGTACGACCGATCGAGGGACTGACTGACTGACTGACTACTCAATGCTGTTCGAGCGCTGAGTGAGCGACTGTCTGTTTGCAACTGCGATGGTTCTGGTGGTGGTAGTGATGGCGGCCGTCAATACAACAAGCAACATACAACAGCGGATTACGGGCGGGCGGTGGACGAACGAGCGGGCCAGCGAGCGAGCGAGTCAGAGCGCTGGCGTTTGCGACCAACCAACAACGAGATCTTCCAGCCTTTGAACAACAACGGCTTCGGCAGCAACGACGAAAGACTACGCTGCTGCTCCTGGCGACGAGGATGACGACAACGGCGCCACATGAATGAGAGAGAGACGGGCGGGCAGCGAGCAAGCGGGCGAGAAAGCGCGCCTTCTCTCCCCTCGCAGCTTCGAGGTGAGCCTGGTAGCCAACCAATGATCGCCCGTCTCTCTCCACTTATAGCCCCGGCGCGCTCGCCATATCGATGGATCTACAGACGGACGGACGCTCGCTCGCTCGGTCAAGAACCCACGCCTGGTTTCTACGCTTCGCACGCGAGCTAGCGCAAATTCATTCTCCACTAGAACTGGGACGACCGAGCCAACGTCCAATAGCGCGCGGTCCGTCCGCGATCGCAGCGGCGCGATGCGGACGAAAGAGGAAACATGAGGAGTCATAGTTCGACGGGCTCTCCGCTACGACGGTCGACTGCTGCTACCCTGCTTTGGTGTCGGATGATAATCCGGCGATTCAACGGTATCGAGCCGACGGGCCGTCTCCCTTCGGTATCCATCGGGGAATATTCGCCAAATTCTTCGCTGCAGCGAATAGAGATCTGATCACGTCGATGATCTCCTGAGCTCAGCATTTTCTCCGGAACACTGCACCGGGACGCGTCTTGCTTGGAGCCCATGGATGCCGAGCTTGCCGATTCGGGTCGCTTCCATGATAGCGACCCGTGAGTCTCACACGGCTCAATGCGAGAACTTGAGAATATTTCCTCGACACATACGTACGATGTACTACTTTCATGTATTTTAAGACTTTGAAGCCGCATGTCATCTGTAGATCCTCCCTAGAATTTTACGATTCCCCCACGACTGCGGAGCCGGGAGGTGTCCTGAATTTTCCAACTTCACCGCAGGAACATTCGGAGCTCCGACGCCGTTCGGAAACGATCGCTGTGTTTCGGCTCTCCACAGAATCCGTATTTCCCCGGAATCTCCGCGGAGAGCTGCGAACGATAGATAACCGCGACTCCAACTCCTTCTGATTGAGCCCGGCTGAGCTACCACTGTAGTAGCCGCTCAAGATCGAGGCTTCCCCTTGTTTCACCAGAGCTCCATTCCGGGACCATCATGTCACCCTAATCTGGCGAACGATTCGAGAGTGGTCGTCGTCAAAATAACAAGCGGTCAGGCGGATCAATCGGTCATCGGGCTGATATGCTCTCATTCCGCTAGGCGAGTAGGTAGGTCTCCCGCCTTAGCGAAGGGAAGCGACTCCCGTCATTGTCATTCCTGCAATTTTTTTCCACCTCCGCTAGTGAGTCGCTATTCCGTCCCAAGTTCTCTAGAATCCATCAGATGAGATCGATATACCTATTGATGGAACACCGTCAAGAGCTAAGAAAATTATACCTAGTAGCCTCCACGTACTATTCATCGGCCTCTGTTGGTTGGTGAGGTGTGCCGGGACCACGTACTGCTTCTGAGCATCTCTCTGCTATGATCGCGACGTGGTAATCATTGGCAGAGGACAAATTGACGCTAGCGGGGGGATACCGGAGCGCGGCGCAGCGTCGGCCGGAGTCACGCTCGGCCTTCTCAAACCAGACTCAGATGATCACTCCGTCGGGCTCTAGAATCCGGCCAGAATCAGGGGGCTTGTCGACTTCGTGACACGGATGCTCTGAATCATCAAAAGGGGTAGATTTTGAGGTTACAGATTCCGATTTGGATGGCTCTTGATCCTCGCAGACTCGAACGAGATGAAAATCCGGCCATTGTGAGCTCGTGACGTCATTCCGAAGCTCGAAGAGGATGAGGATATCTATAAGGGTTCTACTTCATCCGACTCGAGGAACTCGCTCTGTCTCGAGGTTCACTCTCCGCGGAGATACTCCGGCCCGCTGCTTGAGATCTTGGTCACGGCGGGCAAGATCCGTTCGCCCAGCGAGGATGCCAGCTATGGATTTTTCCGGAGAATCTAGCATCTCCGGTTTCCTTTCGACGAAGCCGGCTGTCGGCTAAAATTCGCGAGACAAGTACGATGCAGAGCGGATCTGTATGTGAAGTGAACTGCTCTTAGACCGTTTGATCATTATTCCGCCTACTCTCGAGGTATCGACGAGCGTCTAGGCCATGAGTCATGACTACATTACACATGACTCATTTCTCCGCGCAAAAACTTGGATCTTCGAGTGCGCGGGGGATCCGATATTTTGTAGAGAAAGTATCATTGCGAAGTTCATAGAGCTTTCTCCATTCGAAGTTGAAGATATCCGACAGCCTTACCAGGTGCGCCGATTCCGAACGTCTCCGATGCCTGGGTGTCCATCTAGAGATGAAGACATCAATAGCGATAGAAACCTTTCCCAGAGGTTCCGATTCCCCTCTGTGTTTCGCCGAGTGCGCCCTGCTCTCACGGTGCCAAGTTCCTCCAGTACCGCCGCTCTCATTCGCCTATGTATGTGCTCGTAATCGTCGTCATTGTCTTTCTTCACTCATATCTGCCCCTAACCTCAGCCAGAAGTCGCAATTCGGTCGTCTCTCCCCTCTCGTGCCGTCTTATCGAATCTCATCATTATCTCAGGACTCCTCCTCTGCATAGCCCTGCCGTCCCTGGATTTCCGCGTCAACTATGGCCTGTCAACATTCAAGAGGGGCCCTTCCACTCGAACCATGGCTAACCTCATCCTACTCTCCATTAAAGACTTCCATTCGCCTTCGTCTGTTGATGAATAAAAATGAGAACTCATTGAATTCGTAACGATTCAAAGAGAGGAAATATGCTGATGCCCCAGGAGACCAGGAGGAACTCACTCTCCCAGAGGCTTCCGGGCCTTCGTCGCCTCCATCGGGGGATGAGAGACCTCATGTCGTGAATTCGATGCAATTCACATATGAATAAACAGGCTGTGTGCAGTCCGCAATACCTGTTCGAAACCTGAGCAAATCCAGGGCGCCTTCGACATGGAATGCGAGAATCTACCCACGTAGCGTCAATCTATGGTCCTCATCTGGCCCAACGGCCAACGGCGGTATTTTCCGCAAAGATCCGTCTGTTATTCGAAAACTGTGGATTATATCATACCTTCTTGATTTTCTCCTCCCTCTTGCGCTCGCTGGCTCTGAGTATGGGAAATGCACCATATTCAATGAGTGCCATGCTCAGATCCTGGTTCGGTATCCAGTCCCTTGAGACATCCCAGGACTTCGGATCGAATCGCAGATTCTCGAATCGTCTCATCCTAGCTTGTCCTATCTAGTTATAGAGGGAAATGGGGGTGATTCATGGCCTGCATGATGTGTATCCAGAATGTAGATAGGCCGCTCGAGGTCCGGTAATTGACGATGTCCCACAATGTGCACCAAGTCGCGCAGGTATACTCGATCATGGACGGTCGGAGTGGGCCCCGCCGTTAGCTTTGTAAAAGGGCGGCTGGTGGCAACCACACTGTGAGCCTGACTTCGCAGTGCAGAATCGCCATCAAGAGATTCTGGTCGCATAATTTTTGACTCGGGTAGCCGGTGATGCCCTCGGGGCTCTGGCACCCTCCTCCATCCGGGAAATAACATGAGATGCTCAATTAATCGCATCGATTTCCTTCCGCGGAGCACGTGTACGTGGGGCTTCATTGAACCTGAAACTCCTAGAGCTTCGAGTGACGCTCCGGGGTTTTCCCGATCATTACCGATGTTTCCGTTCTCCTTCACCACTCTCCTTCGTCCGTGTTCGGCATAGCAAGCGTATGAGGGCGACGAAATTCATCTTCCGTGACTCTAAATTCGAACTCGGTTTTGTCAAGATAGGGGATAGAGGCAATGGATCTCTCGGAGGAGCTTGCTGGAGATGCAACTCGAAGACGTGCTGTCTTGATGGGCAACAACAACACCACGATGACTTGGCAGACCTCCGACAATACGAAGCGATCACGTTTGAGAGGCCTTTCCCGCCCTTTCTTTCGCATCTTTCTCGACCGGGTCCTGAGTTCTGAGCTGATCATCCATTCCCGAATAATAAATCGAGTGATAAATGATTTCCATCTCGAATTTCATCTGTGTCTCGACGGTCCAGTATGTCGTTTATTTGAGATATCGGCCGCGGGGAACTGAAGCGCTCCACATTGTGAGTTGACGCTGCAAAGGAGAAAGAATGCTCGCAAGATTTCGCGACGTCCCCTCCTGAGTCGCATCTTCCGGGCTAGAAGCCGATGACGTCCCCCCGTTCAAAAAATTAAAAGTCCTGTCAATTGCTCTTTCCAAGTACCACAGTTCGCGCCCGAATCTGCGCTTCACGGCGGTTCCACAATAGACCGCAAATGATCGCACGGGACGACCGCGCGGCCTACTACAAGATCTGATCCGGACCCAAGAAGTTACAAGACGAAAATCCGAAAATTATCTCCGAAGAATGATCATATTGACTTCGAATGAAGATTGATTCTCGGGATCCAGGTCCGGGCAGATTTAGCGAAGGGCTGCTCTTGAGCGATGAAATGAATTCGCAGCTACAGTCGGAAATCCGGTCCGCTGCAACATTAATGATGATTCGTGTTCCGTCTAAGTACGGAGGCAACAAGATTTCGCTCTCGCACATTGCTCATTAGTTCGTTAGGCTCGTCTATTTCGGAATCCGTACCCCTGAGAAATCAAGATACCCGGCGGAATTCCTCGAGCGGGTACGCGGTCCCGTGTGAGGCTCGGGGGGAGGACCATCGCAGCGCGCCGCGGCGAACGCGCTCGCTCTGAACACAAGCCGCATCGGAGCGCATCTATCGCCGAGCTGTCGGTAAATATCTCTCGCACATTCTTGTGAGGCGGACGCTGGAGCAGCGGCTCACTACCGCTATTTAGCTCACGCTACATTATCCTCGATCAGTTTGTGCTCTGTGTGCGTCGACGAAGGGTTCAGTGTGCAGTGGTCGCTCAAGATTGGAGCATCCAGGCTTTCGAACTCGCAGAATTAGCTCTCAGGATATCAAATCGTGCGTCTGCTCCCCTGCAAGTCAGACGCCATATTGGATACTACCTTGTGGCCTAGACTTCTCAACCTCAGGTACAAACGGTAAGCATCTACTATTTCGTGCGACGTCTTCCGCCCGGGCAAGGCGAGTCCCCTGAAGTCTTCCCAACGTGAGCCTTCAGTGATTCGTTGCGGATCTTGAGAATAATTCATGAGAGCCGGGAGCGCATTGGATCACAATCACTCCGGACTAGAAATTGGAAGTTGGGCCTCGGCTTCCATCTGGGAATTGACTTTGACGTGGCTGATTTCGAGCCCCGGAAGAAGCCTCATGAACTCGCACACATCGTGTTCAAGCTCCCGGAAGCTTCGTCCGAGTGTTTCTCCGTTTTCTCTTCGTGAACTCTTTGCCAAGTCTGTCACGGCTCTCCGTTGGAGCGGTTCTTTCCGATTCGCATTCGAAGCCCGGGCTCGTGGCTAATTCTTGATTTTTGTACCTACAGTGAACCATGTCGGACAGTGAGGGCAGTTTCTCGGACAACGAGGCTCAAGTTAGCGAGGTGAGTACTCGGTGTGATCTCCAGAAGCTCTGGTAGGGATGACTCGAATATTCATTTCGAGCTGCTCATTGGTATGGGATATGGGATGTAGATGTCGAGGGTGCGCTCGATTCAACCCAGCGCCCTCGAACCTCGTGTAACCCTCGGCTCCCTGTTTACAGAATGAAGGCAGTGAAGAGGAAGCTTCAACCAGTCGCGGCAAGAAAAGATCACGTTTCGACGATGATGAGGATGATGAAGACGACGTGAGTTGAGCGAGACACAGAATACATTTAGGTTTTAGCTCCGTACTGACCATAGGGAACGCGTGGGATCTCCGCGGTATCGATTTCTCCTGACTCAACATTGAATTTCCACCGACAGTACGACGAGGAGGACGAAGAGGAAGAAGGTCGTCACAGCAAGAAAAAGAAGTCTCGAGGACGCGGTTTCCTGATTGAGGAAGCCGAAGTCGACACTGATGTCGAAGACGAAGAGGAGTGGGAGGAAGGAGCCGAAGAGCTCATCGCTGAAAAAGGAAGAAGCAGAGGTGGCATCCTCGACGATGAGATCGGTCGTCAGGAGGGCAACCTCCACAGTCATCGACGTCTACAAATGATGCTCGACCGCAAGCCGGATGAGATCGAAGACTATTACAGACGCAAATACGCAGATCCGAAAAGTGACCAGAGAGGCTTCCGAGGGGATCAGGGCGATCTCGAAGCCAACGATGACATCCACCGACAAACTCTACTGCCCAGCGTCAAGTAAGCGCACAGATCCAGGGAACCCGAATCTCTCTTTCAGGGCAGATACTGAATTTCCCTCCGAGAATCGTTCAGTAGGATAGCATCGTGAATTAAAACACGTCTTCTGATTTGCAGAGACCCGATGATGTGGATGGTCAAATGTCGTCTCGGTGAAGAGAAAGCGACAGCCTTACAGCTGATGAGGAAATTCATCGCGTACCAAAATCAGAAGGAACCCCTGCAGATCCGGTCTGTCGTCGCTCCCGAAGGTGTGAAAGGCTACATTTACATCGAAGCTTTCAAACACACTCACATCAAGGCCGCGATCGACGGCGTAGGAACCCTGAAGATGGGCAACTACGAACAAACTATGGTTGCGATAAAGGAAATGACCGAAGTCCTCCGAGTCACCAAGCAGCAACCGACGCTCTCGCGTGGTCAGTGGGTCAGATTGAAGCGTGGGGTGTACAAGGACGATCTGGCTCAGGTGTACCATGTGGAACAGGCGCAGAACAAAGTCGAGCTCATGATGATCCCTCGGATCGATTACACCAAGATGCGAGGCGCTTTGAAGAGCGCTTCCGAATCAGAGAAAAAACGGAAGTTCAAACGACCTGTTCAACGAGCATTCGATGTCGAAGCTATCCGGAGTATAGGCGGGGAAGTCTCAACCGATGGAGACTTCCTAATCTTCGAAGGCCAGCGCTATTCGAGGAAAGGCTTCCTCTACAAAGCCTTCAACATAAACGCCATACTCACTGATGGTATCAAACCGACGCTGGAAGAACTTCAGAAATTCGACGAGCAGCCAGAGAATCTCGAGATAGATCTCGGAGAGAAGAGCGGGAGCCTCGACGTCAAGGAGCATTTCGCACCCGGCGATAACGTCATCGTACCCGAGGGCGATCTCGTGAATCTCAAGGGAAAGGTCATCACTGTCGACGGTACGAAGGTCACGATTCTCCCGAAACACGACGAGCTCAACGATCCCATCGAGTTCCACGCTCACGAACTGAAGAAGTTCTTCAAGTCTGGCGATCACGTAAAGGTCCTCAACGGACGCCACGAGAACGATACCGGCATGATCATCAGGGTGGACAGCGGTATAGCGATTCTCCTATCCGACCTCACCAGTGAGGAATTGAAGGTCCGCACCAAGGACCTGCAGCTGTGCGCCGACACGGCCACTGGCGTGGATTCTTTCGGTCAGTATCAGTACGGAGATCTCGTCCAGCTAGATGCGCAGACGGTCGGTGTCATCGTGCGTTTGGAGAAAGAGAATTTCCAAATTCTCTCGCAGACGGGAAAAGTGCTATCAGTGAAATATCAGAAAATCACTCGCAAAGTCGAGTCGAAGAAGGCCGTCGCTCTCGACTCTGAGCAAAACGATATCCACGTGAAGGACATTGTCAAGGCCATCGACGGTCCCCATTGCGGGAGAAAGGGTGAAGTGAAACATATTTTCCGCATCCACGCCTTCCTGCACTCGAGGCTAGTGACCGAGAACGGCGGAATGTTCGTCTGTAAAACCAGACATCTCGTCCTGGCCGGTAACAAGGTCCATTCGGGATCGAGCTCCGGCTTGGCGATGGGCGGCTTCTCGCCTCTGTCGCCTCGCATATCGAGTCCGATGCATCCGTCAGCTGAGGGCAAGAGTCCCATGCGTTCCCCGATGCACGCCGGAGGTCACGGTCGAGGTGGCGCCCATCAAGGCAAACGAGATTTCCATCTGATTGGCAAGACGATTAAAATCATCAAAGGTCCGTATAAGGGCCACATCGGAATGGTCAAGGATGCGACAACATCAACAGCCCGGGTCGAGCTGCACGCTAAATGTCAGACGATCACCGTGGACCGTACGCGTCTAGAGCCGGCCACCAAAGTATCCGGAAGAGCTTCTGGGGGAGCATCTTCCTACACTCGAACGCCTTCTCATGGTAATGCGACGCCAATGTACGGGAACCAGACCCCGATTCATGGGTCTCGAACGCCGATGCAAGGTTCACAGACGCCCATGTATGAACGTGAGTATCGTCGTCATTCTCTGTCTCTCATCCAAATACGTGATTCCATGCGCAGCCACGATCCATTCTTTTCGAGCATGCCTGTCCGAAATAATTCGCGACATTTCTCATATTCTAATCTCAAGCTTGATTCTCTCCCACAGCCGGAAGCAGGACGCCTCACTACGGCAACGAGACTCCGAGGCACGATGGTTCACGTACTCCGTCCCACAGCACGTCGTGGGATCATGTCAGTACTCCTGCACGCAGCGAGGAATTCGACGAATATGAACACGAACCGTCTCCCTCGTACAACCCGGCCACGCCCGGATATCAACCCGACACGCCGCAGGTCGGAGGACCGTTCACCCCTCAGACACCCGGGGGAATGTACAGTTCACACGAGGCGCCATTCTCGCCCTATCAAGCCTCGCCGTCACCATCGAGCAGTAGTTACCAATTGCCGTCTCCGGGCAATCCTCTCACGACTCCTTCGCCGATGGGTTACAACAACCCCAATTCGCAGTTCTTCTCGCCCATGACCCCCGGTGTGGCAGCGAGTCCTTTCAATAACCCGCAAACACCTGGTGGGGGAATGGATCACATGCCCATGGAATGGCAAGCCGTCGATCTCGAATGTCGGATTCGAGCCTTGGAGAATAAGGACAAGGGGCTCGTCGGACAACAGTGTATCATCACAGGCATCTCCGGCAACGTTTGTTCAGTGCTGCTCATAAAAGAGGATCGCGTCATCAGCGTGGACTCGCACTATCTGGAGCCGGTTAGGCCACGCGAGAACGAAAGATGTAAGATCATATCGGAAGGAGGCGAGGAGGAAGGAATTGTCGTCGACATCAAAGACGAGAACGACGTCGTCGTTATGGTCGGAGATAGGCATCAGAAATATCGAATATACGATCTGTGCAAAGTAGGTAGTAAAGATTAATCGGGAACCGCATCTTTCTCCATTGAGTTTACGCACTGTATAATGCAAAATAAAACTTGTACAACGTCAGATTTGCCTCTTCGACGAAAGAGGACAAACTGAAATCGTTCCCCATGGCTATTGTCCCGCTCAATATTCCGTCAGGAATGGAGAGGGGACGGAACACTTAATGGGGAACACTCTTAATTTCTGTCTGGTTTATGAGTTCACAATGGCGCGGCGGTTTGGGCTCCCGGATCTCAATCCTCGTCAAGCCCATCCGGAAATCCGACTGATTCTTACGCTTTCGAGCTGATGGGGGCGTCGACTCCCCTGCACCCAGTCAGTTTTTGACCAAACAAACACAGGAGTCTCTCGCTACGTGCGATCCGAGGGATTTTCTCCAAGGACTCTCGGATGCGAATCGCCTGGCAGAGGATCCATCCTGAGTCGAGAGTCAGACGAAAATCGGAGACTGTGAGCAGGGCCAGGGGCGTACGCAGGGGGGGGGCTAAACGGGGGGGGGGGCGTCCCGAGACGGTTCCTCTGTAATGCTGTAGTACAGGAGCGGATCGCCATACTGGATTTCAGGCACATGCGGAGAC